CCAAGAACGTCAGTCTATGAGGCGTTAAATATACTTGAAATTATTTTAATTTACGAGCGCTTTTGACGTAAATAAGCACGTCGTCTTCAGGTAAAATTCAAATTTAATTTTACCTGAAGACGACGTGCTTATTTACGTCGAAAGCGCTCGTAAATTAAAATAATTTCAAGTATATTTAACGCCTCATAGACTGACGTTCTTGGAAGAAGAAGTTTTGAGTGATAATCATACCACCATCCAGGTCAATAGCCAGAACTTTAAGTGGTACTGTACAGTACATTGTCTCAGTTTACATATTTCCTTCAGAAGACATGATGCCTCATTTTCACAATGTAGGATCCACTATTAGGACAATTTCTCAACATCCCATCCGAATTGCAGGGGACTTTAATGCAAAGTCCCCATTGTGGCATCCCCTTGGGAGCAGCCCAGGAGCACTTCCCTCCAGAAATTCATAGAGGAATTCAATCTCACCTTGCTAAATACCAGTACTCTCTCTACGTTCTCCACAGAGCAGGGGAGAGCTGGATTGACCTGTGTCTGGAGAACAATGTTATGAACAAAATAGTTACAAAGTGCCAAACTGAAGACACAACCACTGCAAGTGACCACAATTATATTCGGATAAAGATTTCTAACCAACTTCAGCCTTACACCAAGACATTCATATCTCATACCAACTGAGATCTTTATGAGGAAATGGTGAAAGAATATTGGAATCCTACAGACACCATCAATATCTACTCTACTACTAAGATAGATCAGTGGGTTGAAAAGCTACAGCTACTCCTCCTCCACTACTACTAGAACCCACAAAACCCAGGTACCATGGTAGAACTCCCAACTACAAAACACCAGGCAAAAGATCAGAAAAGCAAAACGGACCTTTAGGAGAGAGAGGGACCCAGACAGAAAGGAATTCCTTAGGCGTGATTACTGTAACTTCTACAGAGAATACAAGAATCAATTTAACAAGGTGAGGTCAGACTCATGGAGGAATTACTACTCCACCACAGAGAACAGAAACCCAAGGTCTACCCCAGGCATGGCCAGCATACGGCCCACGGGCCGGATCCGGCCCGTGTAATGAGTTTATGTGGCCTGCAATCAATCTTTCAATATTAGCTACTGAAGTTCGAATAGTTTGATGAAAAATTCTGACGCCTAAAAAAAAAAAGGTCAACAACTCACTGTGCACAATGGAGTTAACCCTCTATTACAAGTCTCTTAATACAGCATAGAATGTTGATAAAGCATGATAATGTGAAAAATGTATCTTTAATCTCTATGTACAATTTAGTCTCTATAGGGTGACACCACAATGAGATCTCGCACCACCTCAAAATTTTCCTAGGGTGGCCTCTGGTTCAGCCCGTGGAAAAAGTTTTCTTTCCAATTCAGCCTGGGGGCAAAAACTGTTGGCCACCCCTGGTCTACTCCCTATTACATCAGTTTTAATAAAACTAAAAGGACTTCAGTCATGAACTCAATCAGGTAGGGAGATGGTACATTTACTGACAATATAGATGATACATATCAACACATCATAAATGAATTATTTTCAGATGACAGATCTACACAGATGAGTGAGGGAGGAGGAGACCACACAGGAGCTAGTAGCATTAACAACACTACTGTGGAGAAAAGCTTCTCCACAAAAGAAATCGCAAACATATTCAAGAACATCAACTAAGAAAGCACCTGGCCCAGATGGAATTACCAGAAACATCGTGAAGCATGCTTTCACAGCTATTTCTTCCACCTTTGTTGTCTCGTACAACAAATGTTTGGAGTTAGGGTATTTTCCAAAGGTGTGGAAAAAAGCTTGAACTAAATTAATTCCGAAAAATAAGAACAAGGCACCTGAATTTCACCAAGATTTTCAGTCTATCTCCCTCCTAACCATACTGGATCAAGGGGCACACTGGAGGCCAGTGGAACAACAGGGCCGATCTACTGGCCAAAAAAGCCATCAGCAACATCACCACCACCTTCTGGCTCCTTCGGTTACATCCCAGCTAGCTGGGTACTTGGGTACCTCAATTATATCACAGGCATATGGCAACAACGATGGGACACTGAAGTCATTGGGAGACTCGCACATGAGTTTATCACAAACCTCTCCAACAGAGAACATATGAGACATCTGACACCAAATCACTGACTATCGCAACTTATGACTGGCCATGGAAACATGGCAGCATACCTCCACTGCTTCTTCAGAAAGGGAAATGGGGAATGTGACTGTGGCACAGGAGAACGAGAGGACTCACACCATATCATCTACTTCTGCCGAAATACTACAACAGGAGGAAACTGAAGGAAGAAATTTACAAGACTGGAGTCAACTGGCTATGTAAGCTTCTTGATTTAGTTAGCAAAAGGAACAACTATGAAGCATTGGTCAACTTCGTGAATGGTATGAACATTGTTACGCATCATGTCCTAGCTGCCAGTTGAGGAGGACGTCACTCACATTAGAACAGTGCCATCTGTATCCTCTTCAAAGTGCTATAAATGTGAAGCAGGTATTTTCTTATTGACTCTCAGTTGTGCTTCGGCATAAGGCTACTCGGCCACCTTTTGTTATTCACAGTTTTGTAATACCTGCAAATCTCAGTGTTAGTGCACACACTGCCATCTCTGTAAATTGTAAATTCCTGTTCTTTGTGCCTCACTGTTTTGTCACATGTGCCCTCTGAAGTCTGGAGGAAGCATTGTACCACTTTTTATGTTTTCAACAATCTGGTGTTATGTTTTTGCATCAGCTCTGCATTGTTACCCTCTGGAGCCAAGGGGGCATTTTCTTTGTTACCCCATCCTTCCCATCAGGTTGGGGACTCCATTCCCACAATTTCATTGTAGGAAACTCAAAGCCAACAGCTGTCCTAGAGTTTTCCCTCGCCTCAAAGTGCTGAGGCGTGTTTTCTATTTACTCATTGTATGTATTGTACTTTTATTGTAATTCTGGTATTCCATTCTCCCCACAGGTAAGTAGAAAAGTATATTGTCACTCATGTCCTCTGTGTCTGGAAGAAGCCTTGTATTTGTTGCTCATTTTCCAGACATCTGGTGCACTGTATATATATATACACTGGGGTAACAATTAGGAACATGTGTCAGTTCCTAATTGTTACCCCTGGAGCCAAGGGGCATTCTCTTTGTTTTTCCATCCTCCACACCAAGTAGGAGGGGCTATACATACATGGCCTTGGGGAAATTGCAAAGCCAAAGGCTGTTAAAATTTTCCCCTGCCTCAAAGTGTTGAGGCTTGTTTACTGTTTTCATCTGTATTGTATTTTATTGTAATTCTGTTGTAACTCTGGTTGTTTAAATAAATGGGACCTGGTGGCTGCTCTGGATCTCATGTTTTCACACTTTCCTATCATTCTTTTCTTTCCTTCACCCTTCTCTCTTCAGCTAAACTCTTCATTCTTCCTTTTCAAAGGCTATGCCTTAGGGTTAGGCCTTCTCTCCTTTGAAAGAATGTAGAATGTTAGGCCTTTGAGGACATTTAAATATGATATTAATTTTAAGTCCTTTTCAACTACCCATTCCCTTCCTCCCTGTCACATTTTGCCACCAATTTTTAGACACCCCACATGCTGATGTCAGACTTGATCTACCATTCCATAATAATAAAATCAAGCATTTCTCAAAATAGATCTACAGTAAATTAATTTAGTCACATTTCCTATCTAGGCAAGATTAATTATAAATATTACTAATATAAAAGCCATCATATACAAAGTAATAATCTAACAAGCCTGTTATTTAGAAAGTGTTATCACTTATCTAAGTAATGTACAGTACATATAATTCATCTTTGTTTAATCAACATGGAATTAAGAAATGGTTTTGTCAAGGGCTGCAGAAACAACATCACAATGTCAATCATCAAAACAATATTAAGGTGTCTATTACTAAAGGAAGACAGCAAGGAAATCTTTTAAAAGACTGTTTACTGTGTATAAAGAAATTTTATAAAGAAAGATTTTAATATTATTTTAATATAAAGGCCTAAATCTGACTTTGTGTGCATAAGTGAAATCTCAATAACTCTTACTTTTTTGTCTACTCCAGGTGAAATTTTGTTTTGTTGCTCTTTATGTTACAACAGATAATATTTCTACAAATTAAGTAGTATATACTAACAACTCTTTTTGAATTTCTTGAAATCTCCACTCTTCTCAATTCTTTAATCACTACTTTCTCATAAAAAGTATTATGTCATGCTTGACGGGGTAATTTCTACTAGTTCAATAAAAAGACAATATTTACTGATTTACCACAGAAGGGTCTGATGATATTGTAACCAATTGTATATTGTAAATTGTAAATCCTAGACTAAAATCAATTTGTTCTATACTAATATATCTTTCAATGGTATCTTTATCTGTAATTTATATCTGTAAAGGTTAAATTGTTGCAATTATTTTTACATATTAAAAGTTCTACTAGAGCTCTTTAATAGAGAATTGCTTGGTACAATGTTTCTGCAATTTAAATAAGAATTTGCTTATTTAAATTATATGATACTTCTGCATATTGATTTTGGTAAAAAAATTATTTTAAGTAGGAAAATTTTTGAGAATCTTAAGGACATCGTCATTCTACTAACACCCCATCTGCATTGAAAAGGAGGGATATATAAAAATTTTGTGATAGTTCACGACAGGGATGGGGTCATCCTGTCGTGAACTATCACAAAATTTTTATATATCCCGCCTTTTCAGTGCAGATGTCATATTTGAATGAGCCCTTTATCATCATCTCATCATAATCTGCTTTGTTCCATTTTTTTTTTACTAGATGTTCTCAAACATTTTCAGTTTTAACAAATTAAAAATTTTTGTATATTAAAATAATTTCTGATTTCAAAACTAGTGCATATTAGTTTTTGTACTTTAAGCTAATTTTCTCAAGATTTTATATTTATAACTCATTTGTTTTTTGAAATTGTCAAAATAATTTTTGATAACTTTATAACTCTTATATAGCTTACAGATGACATAGGTAGGACTTCCAGAAATAGCAATATGATTACTAGTGCAACACAAACAAGTGATACTGATTGTCAGAGAGATGTTCATCATTCAGAACCAGAATGTTCTTCTGGATCATCCATGTTATCATTGTCTTCCATTTATCAAGGAGAATGGCCTATTGATGGTAATGATAGAGGTAATGATATAAAAAGTTTTCAATTAATTTTTTTTAAATTTAAAAGATTCAAAATCTTTCTTCATATAGTTGGTTCAATTTATTACTTTAAATTCTTTGGGTGATTTTAGCCATCTAAGAACATAGTAATAAAAAACATAAAATTTTATATTTTTTAAGATAATTCTTTAGAATCTGATAAAAAGTAAAATAATAATAGACCTCCTTATTGACTATACACTTTCAGAAATTTATTATTTTCAGCTTCTAATTTTAGCTAGAATATAATATATATATAAAAAAAAAAACCATAGAAATGCAAAAAAGCTAGAAGAAATTAGGAAATTATAAAGAGAAACTTAAAAAACTTACCTAGGAGAAAAGTGAACATACATAGAAAACATTCTAAAATCTGCTGAAAAGGAAAGAAGAGAGAAAAGAACAAAGAAATTAAAAAATAAATAAATAAACTATTCAAGCTGTTTACTTCAAGAACAAGATAAACTAGAATTAGAGAAAACAATCTTCTAATGGAAACAAAAACAAGTTGTTAGACAGATGGAGGGAGTATTTTTACCACCAAATAAACCATACTCCTTCACAAGCAAGAACCTATACTTGGATAACCTGTACATTGAAAAAAGTAGAATAGTACATAGTGTTTAAAAATATAGTAGTCCTCAGGAACTGACAGAATTCCAGCAGAACTCTTAAAGTATGTTGTAAATATGTCTCTTATATAGTAATACTTTAAGAGTTCTGTTGGTATTCTGTAAATTATAGGAGAAGATATACATGCTGATTCAAATTTTTGGGAGGAGGAGTAAATATTAGATGAGTGGACTGAGGCAATTATATGCCCCATATATAAGAAGGAAGATGCATCTAAATGTTCCAACTACAGAGGATGCTAGTCATGTTATAAAGAGTCTTGCCTAAAATCTTATTGAAACAACTACCACCTATTGCATATGATATAAATTTGCATTCTTTATTAATTTTTAAAAATTCTGTGAATTTAATTAATTTAATGATTATAAACTTTAATGATTTTCAAATTATTTGTTTATTTTGAAGTTAATTAGTAATTCCAAAAGGATATGCAATGACTGTTTCCCTAAATAGCATTTAGATTTATAATAAAAATACAAAATGTGACAAAACAAGACATACTAAACATATAACATACCTATATATTAAAATGTTTTTCTATCATAAAAAAAAAATTATATATACTCATATATTGAACTAGCAGCACTGATGAATCTTCAGAAAAATTTTGTTATGAATAATCTACGAGGGTTGTCCCAAAAGTAATGCACAGTTGGCTCTAACTCAAAAAATATTTATTGAAGATACAAGTGATTACAGGCTTTCAAAATAATCCCCTCCCTTATCAATGCATGCTTGCCAGTGGTGCGGAATAGAGATTGCAATCCAGCAGTGTTTCTAATCCAGCTGGATTTTTGCTGGACCAACATCATTCCAGCTGGATCCAGCGCGGATCCTGCTGGAATGACGCGCGGATTTTTTTTGGTGCAATAAAGTGTTATCTATCTATCTATCTATCCAAAATTTATGGGTTTTTTTAAAGAAATAAAACATTTTTTTTAAATACTTAAGAAACTTTTATTATTTAGACTGGTCACTATAAATCAGTAAAACTTCTTACACATTTAGGTAGTAAACTTAACTTTGGTTCGGTTTAACACTTGAGATAGAGATAATTAACTTTCAATGTTTAGTTAGATTATAATTATAATGTAATCTTTAAGTTAAATAATAGCAAAGGTAATTCTACTAATTAATTTATATTAATATATTATATTATAATAATGTAAGGACGGATAATCAGTGGCTAAGTGGCTATCAGTCTTACCAGTTTTCTTATATAGGCTCTACAT